TGCTGGCTCTGGGCCCGCATGAGCCTCCAAGGTGCCGGCTGAGAGCAATACTGTTGGCAGCTTTGGGGTTGAACTGCACGGTCCTTGGGCTTATAGTGCACAGAACACGTGCTGTTGGCTTCTTAACTCTGAAAATGAGACCGTTTTATTGCCTTTTTCCCGCAGTCAGCTAGACGCCACCTGATAAAATCCCTGGCCCGAAGTGTGGCAGCTGCTCAGATTCTGAACTGGCCTTTCCTCCTGGACCCCCTCTCGGCTGCCGCGAGCTTCTGCTGCATCCACGGAGCTGTCTGCCTCTTCGGCCCCTCTCAGGCCTCGGGGCTGCCCCACTCCTGCGCAGTGGCTGCAGCAAGCCGGCTGAGGACGGGGTGCTCGGGGCAGCGCAGGCCCCTCGGGGCGGGGGCCGGGCTCCCTCTGGGGTCTCGAGGCACCTGGCGCCCAGTGTGATGGGGGCGGGAGGTGGCTGGCAGTGTCTAGAAAGGTTCCTGTTGGCATGAACTCCCTTGGGGGACCCCCCCTTAGAGCAGAGGACAGTGGATCACTGGGGTCTCCATTTCTTCCCCCATCACACCGGCCCGTCCCTCACTGACGCCCCCACTGCCGTCACCCCCGTGGGGATGAGGTGGCGACACCTCCGTGATGAACCCAGTGGATGCACAGGGTGACCAGTTAGGAGGGTAAAAGTTGTGTGGCCTTTACTTCCAAGAACGTTCACTCAGGCTGCACCTCCTTCCTAACACACGTCACCTCCACACTGCCTAGTTTAGTTGAATAGTTTGTTTCGGGGCCCTTGCCTCCATCGCTCCAATAGTTCAGAAGATCCATAAGTCACAGCTTCTCAAACTTTAGACAAAATGTGTCATTTATTAGAACAAGGACGTGTACCCTGGACCACCTACACGTGTCACGCAGAGGAGACCCCACACCTGGCGAGCGTCATCTGGACAAGTGGCCCAGAGTGTGAATGAGTTGTAGGTTGGCACCCCCGTTTCTCTTAACAAGGAAGGAGTCTTGTTTGCTTAGAAGGAAACAGAAGAGAAGACTCGGGAAAATGCCCCTGGGTGCGCCATGCGTGTAGACGTCACCCCCTGAGTCTCAGGTGACCACAGCCACTTCCAGACTGAGCCGTCACAGCCCTGGGAGACAGACGAACACACAGCAGGAGGAAGGGGTGAGCTGGACCTTGGGCCCCTCGGAGTAGCCACTTCTTTACCTCCTACTTTTATTTTATGAACCATGTTTCCTATAAGAGACTCGTGACGTCCTAGTTCAGAAGTGGAGCCAGACGTGGTTTCCTGCGACTGATCAGGGTCACGCTTACCTGGGTGCTTTGGAAAAATCAGCTTTTCCCTTTTCTTATGGGATTAGTGATCACTGCTCCAGCCACAGAGGGAGCTTCTAGATCTTACACTCCCTCCATCATGTTAACCTTCAAACTTGACCTTGAACTTTCCAAACTGGAGCTGACTCTTGCTCCGCTATAAGGCAAAAAGTTTCAAAATTGTTTATTTTATTACAGAGTTTTGAAGAAGAGAATTTAAAGGTATGAAATAAAAGTAGCTGAGCTTCCTGTCTAAATGTGATGTTTCTCTTTCATCACCTGGTCAGACGATAAGGAGGTTACACAAAGCACGGTACTGTGCTTCTCAAAACGATGTCAAAAATTATCAGATGGATATTTAGAAATGTTTGGAAATAAAGAATGCCACAAAGAAAATCATCTCCCAGGGTGGCTCACTGCTGACTGACTGAAACGAAAGTTTTACCTTTGCAGTGTTTTTTTTTTTTTTCTTTTTTTTCAGTACGCAGGCCTCTCACCGTTGTGGCCTCTCCCGCTGTGGAGAACAGGCTCCGGACACGCAGGCTCAGCGGCCGTGGCTCACGGGCCCAGTTGCTCTGCGGCACGTGGGATCTTCCTGGACTGGAGCACGAACCCGTGTCCCCTGCATCAGCAGGCGGACTCTCAACCACTGCGCCACCAGGGAAGCCCTGCAGTGTTTTTTTTGAAGACGGTCAAACCTTGCACCTTTGAGAGCAGAGGCTGCCTGTGAACTCTGGGTGGACAGCAGAAACGGAGAGCTGTCCACCCATCCCAAAGCATTTCCTTTTGGAAGCATTTCCAAACCTGTCTCGTCTGCAAGGATTTGGTGGTTCTCGGTGCCACGGTGGGGCAGTAGCGCACCACCTACGTGTGAGTGGGTCCTGTGACTCAGAGCAACATTGACTCCTCCTGGCTGTTTGACAGTAGAGGACCTTGGACGCAGAGGTCTGGGTTTACAAACATTTAAGATTCTTCACCATGTCAGTTAAGGCTACACATACTCTGTGGCACCTAAAACTTGACATTTAGCATCTTAAAAATGCTTACGCAATCTGCCTGTTGGTGTGCATTCTAATACAGGTCGTCCACGTGGACAGGGCTTTCTAAGGTCAGAGCCTGTCACGCCACCACACGGTCCAGAGCAGCCTTCACGCACCCCGGCCGCTCCTGGAACTGGCCAGCAGAACCACGGCCCCACGGGCGCGCTCTGGGCGTAGGGCCCGCGCGTCACTGGCGTCACGACAGTCCAGCAGCCTCGTTTACTGCCACTTGCTTGAAAACAGCTCCTTGCAGATTTATTCGCTTCATCTCGTAGCGTCTGTGTTGACAGAATTTGATGTAGGTATGATGTATTACGTTTTGATGCGGCTGACAGATTTAATAAAAACAAATGTTTAATGTCTGTGGTGCTTTTTAATCGAGCCACTAAATTGTGAGTTGACAATTTTTGTGAAATAGTAAGTACAGTTGTCCCTTAGTATTCACGGGGGATTGGTTCCAGCACCCCACCGATAGCAGAACCCCTGACAGGAAAGTCTCTATGTGAGATGGCGTCGTATTTGCATACAACCCACCCACGTGCTCCCGGATACTTTAGATCATCTCTACATTAGGTACAACACCTAATCCAGTGTAAACGCTCTGTGAATAGTTGTAAATACGACGTAAGATGCTGTGTAAACAGTTGCCAGAGCGGCAAATTCAAGTCTTGCTTTTGGGACCTTTCTGGAACGTTCCCCCCCCCGATATATTCCGTCCTCATTGATTGAGTCTTCAAATGTGGAACCTGCAGATGTGAGGGCAGCCTTGTCTACAATGATAATATCAAATGATGGCTTTTAACCTTCCTAGAACCAAAACAGTTTATTCCAGACGAGCTGTTTGTCCCGAGGCGGTCACTTGCTGGGCTTTGGTCTCCCGTTCGTCGGCCCATTTGTCGGCCCCCGAGCCCACCCTGGCCTTGTCACAGGAGACTTCAGAGCTAACACCACCTCCTCACCTGTCACCTTCTGCTATGTAAAAATAAAGTCAGGTTTTGCAAGAACTCTGTGGTAAACTGTGCACTAGTAGCTTTCTGTCGGGCGGGAGGGCTGTGCGGGGCGGGAAGACGCGAGGGTCACCACGTGGACTTGCTCTCAGAACCAACGAGGGTGAGCGTCTTGGTTCTCACACCTTGAGCAACACGCCTGGAAGAATAAGTAAACAGCTTATTAGTAGCTTCTACATCTTTTCTGAATTTTCACTGTGTGAAGGTGTCTCATTATGCAATTCCGGGCTACTTAGGGACACAACGGACCTTGGAGTGTGATCCTGAACAGCTCAGCCGGAAACGAGCCTCTTCTGCAGTCAAAGGAGCCGTGCCTCGGGCACAGCCCAGAGCCCTTGTTGGGTTTGGTCCCTGGAGAAGTGACAGTGCAGGCCTGTTGGGGGAGGGGACGTAGGCAAGGCACGCTCTTTTAAGGTGGCTTAGCTTATTTTAAATGTGTAATAAAAGCAGATTTTAATAAAACTGGTTCCGATAATTTCACGTCCTTACGTTGTCCAGGTTTTCTAATGTCAGTGAACGTTTCTCTGTGTCTTAAATCTGTGTGGTTGTGAGAATCCCAGAGGAGAGCTCTGCTATCCGGCATTGGTAGCCCATCCCCAGAAGCCCTGGGTGGGGTCCCGGCTTCCCAGAGCTCTGAACTTGTCAATGTGAAAATAAGGGCTCCCTCCCGCCCTCAGGCCACGGTGGAGGGCTGCAGGGGCTTGTGTGTGGCAGCCTGGCCAGCAGGAAGCTCTCTGCACCAGCCTGCCTCCTACACACTTCACGCTTTAGGCTGAATAAACTAAGTTTTGGGTCTATAAACTGGTCACCGTGGGTAACTGCATTTGGTCCCCAATCACAGTGTGAAAGGATCTCGTTTTGAAACCCGTTGTGTTACTTCTAGCGTTTTGTAAACCGACTTAATAATCATACTTAGAGATAATGGTAGTTTGGGTGTTAAAACGCTATACATTTATAAACCCAAGGTAAATTTCTATCTTAAATTGCTTTTGAACAGTTAAACGTCTCCTCTAAAACTCTGCTTTAAGGTGACTTTCAAACGTGGCATTTAATAGTTACTACTCTCTCATAGAAAAACATTAGAAATAAACCTTTGAGGATTTTTTTACATAGAAAAGGGAATTTCTTGATCACAAAATGTTGGATGAAATAGAACGAGGCCAGAATTTTGGCTTCAGTCTGGTCAAAAGCAAACGTTATTTTCAGAAGGGGAAAAAATTAAGTTACTTTTGTGGTATGATTCTAGAAATCAGAATAAAATCCTTGCTAACGAACAATTCAGGGAAGTAGAAAACAGTATGACGAGTGTGATCCAGTGTTTTAAGTGAATGGTTAATGAGTTTGGCCTTAGAATACACGTTCTTTTCCAGATAAGTCAGCGTCAGTTTGGCCTCTTACGTGCACTCCCTCCTCCCCGTTGGCTCTATTGTGCCTGCATCTTCCCCGGGAACCAGAGCCCTGGGCCAAGCCGCCCTGGAGGTTCTCTGGGGAAGCGGGCTCTCACTTGTCACCTGTTCTCACCGTTGCTTTGTCACACTGAGGCCTGCGTGTCTCCGGAAGGGCCTGGTGGCAGGTGCTGTCCCTTGGGTCTGCCCTTCTTCATCTCTCGCTCCATCGCCCGTTCACTTCCAGGCCTTTCCGTGGAGAGTCCTCAGCTTCCCTCCACCCGGAAGACCCCACCGAGCCTGAGCCCACTGGGCCCAGCCGAGCAGGGCTCCTCTCCCCTGCTGAGCCCCGTCCTCAGCGACGCTGGCGGAGCCGGGATGGACGACCAGGAGGAACTGAGACACAAGGTGGGCGCCCCCGGGGGGCTTGCTGCTGGGGGCCTGGGCAGCAGGGGCTGGGGGTTCCCCAGTCCCGAGACCCTCCCACCACCTCCGGGGCGCTCGGGGTCCCTCTGCGCCAAGACGGGCCTCCTCATTCCTTTCACGTTCCTGGCGCCCGTAGGTTCCAAGTGCGGGGCTGTGGATCCCGGGGACCTGGGGGCCTCAGCCTCCCCGCTTTGCTGGGAGGAGGCCTGGGGGTCAGGCGAGGCCGTGGGGCTGGGGGCTGAGGCGTTCTGGAGGTGCGTCCCAGGGGCTGGGCGTGTGGACTTGCGGGGAAAGAGTGAGGTCGGTAGGCAGAGCGCCACGGACCAGGCAGAGAAACGTGCCCGCTCGCTGGTGAGGCCACAGCCTGAAGCATCGCCAGCGAGGCCCTGGCCCCCCAGATGCACGCTGGGAGACCCCCAGGTTTCCTGATGACTCCCCTGGCAGGTCCTGGAAGCCTTGGCCTCAGCTGGCCAGGCCTTGGGCTCCCGCGTCGGCATCTGACTGCCCAGCTGGGGGTGGGAGTGCGGGGGGGCTGCCCAACCCTCCCTCGGATCCCGTGTGCCAGCTTGCTTCCTGGAATCCCTCCTCCTTCCTGTGTCTCCCACTTACTGTGCTGTTTCTCCTTTTTAATAGAAATTGGTGGGGACGCACAGTATTGGAAAGGCCTGAAAGGGAAGGTGGGGTTGCTCCCCTGCCTGTGTGTGGGCACCAGGCTCGGGGCTCTGTGGGGACAAAGCAGGGTCTCCCTCTGCCCTGACCTGGGGCCTGCGGGCAGGTCTGCTTGCTGGTATGGCTGGCAGAGCAGCAGCTGTTTTGCTGTCTCTCCACTGAGTTTCCTAAGAGGTGCTCTTTGCTCTGGAAATCAGGGGTTGGCCCTGGCTACCCAGGCTGGCCCCCCATGAGCTGCTGCTGACCTCTCTACTGCTGGCATCCCCTTGGCACCTGCAGTATTACTGTGACCTCAGCAGTGATGCTGCCGTGGTTGTTTCTGAGCGTCTCTCTGGGCACCTTCACCCGCCACGGGAAGAGGAGCTGGTCTCGGGCCTCAGTGGGGACCCAGGCAGGAAATGGTCACCGGCAGTGTGCGTGCGACGTGTCCGCGATCCAGACCAGAGCCAGGACGCTTGGCCACAGGGAGATCCAGGCAGGGAGGGCCGAAGCCTCCCAGACCAGGACCGTGGGCCTCCTGGGGCAGCTCTGACCCCAGAGAGCTCACTGAGCACACAAGCTCAGTGATTTTTCAGTGGATTTGAAGAAGTCATTTTTTAATAGCACAAAGCCCAGAAAGAAAGAATTGACGAGCATGAAGTTTAGAAAGGCGGCCTGCAGGTGTCCGGGGCAGGACACCAGAAGATGCCATGGTACCGTGTGGCTGCCAATGTTGTGGGAAAAGCTGGCGTGAGAAGCAGCCCACGGACGCTCCACACACAAGTCCCAGAGGGAGGACAGCAGGACAGGCTGTGAAGGGTCAGGCGGAACCTCCTGGTGTCCCCGCGGCTGAGGGGGCGGCTGCCGTAGCAGTGGCCTCCGGGACACACAGGAGGAGCAGCCTCTGCTGCCGCGACCTCCCTAAACTCCCCAGGGCCCCGGGGAGAAGTCTCAGACCCCACGGTGCAAACCCGGTCCCACCTTCCTCCCCGAACGGGTCACCTGCAGACTCGGACCCTCGCCCTGCCTCACTCCTTCCCTCGGCCGACTCGCCACCTCCCCCCACCCAGACCCTGACCATCAGGGTCACCACCCCTCAGCCTGGCTCTCCCTTCCCTGTGCCTTCTGACCAGCCCCGGCCCCCAGACACATCCTGGGCCCCGCGCACCCCGATGTGCTCAGATAGGCCTCAAACACCCTGCCTTCCCGCCCCGCCGGTGACCACTTGGCTCACCTTGTAGCCCCCCATCCTTGACCTCTGGGCTGGCCCCCACCGCCCAGCCTCCTGGCCCCGCCCTCTCTAGGAGGCAGCCGTCTGTCCTGCCAGCCTCCACCCCACCTGCTCCCTTGGTCCTTCTGTGTGCTTTGCTGCCCAGCTGGGTCACTTCCCCGGTAGCTGGAGTTGCTTCCTGCCTGGGAGGCTGTCAGCTCGAGGGCAGGGACCTCTGTTCCTGGGCACGTCCCAGGTGCCTGTTGGCATGGCTGCAAACGTGGGAGGGTCGGCCCTAAATCCTCCGTCCGGGGGAAGAGCAGCGGGGCGAGCATGCAGGGACGGAGCAGGACCAGGTGTCCGCCAGGTAGGAGAGAGTGGAGGAGAGGCCATGCACCGACCTTGACCGAGGCGGAGGCAGCTCTCTGAGGTGTGCTCAGAGTGGGGTGGGGCCCTGCAGGGATAAGACACAGCCCCCAGCCCAAGTGGGCACAAGGCCTGTGCTTCGCTGGGAGCGCTGTGCTGCCCTTCCCGCTCCTGAGGGTCCTGTCACCGCTGACTTGCCTGTGGCCCCTGCAGGTGGTCAGCGGCCCTGTCGCAGGTTTAAGAGCCCCGGGGCTGGGCCACGTCAGCCAGCCGCCGGCTCTAACCGCCGGCACAGATAAAACGTACATCGCTTGGCAATTTTAATGACTTACGTGTGAGTTAGGCTTAACTGTTGCTAATCACATACATTCACGCATGGGCAGACCTCGTATTATTGCGCTCCGCAGGTACTGCTTTTTTTTTTTCCTACAAATGGAAGGTTTGTGGTGACCCTGTGTCAAGTCTGCCAGCACCATTTTTCCAATGGTATTTGCTCACTTTGTGTCTCTGTGTCACATTTTGATAATTCTCACAATACCTCAAACTTTTCCCTTATTATTATGGTTGTTGTGGTACCTGTGGTCAGTGAGCTTTGCTGCCACTACTGCCACTCACTGAGGGCTCAGATGATGGTTAGTATTTTTAGCAGTTAAGTAGTTCTTTTTGCTTTTTTTTTTTGGCTACATTGAGTCTTCGTTGCTGCCCGTGGGCTTTCTCTAGTTGTGGGGAGGAGGGGCTCCTCTTTGTTTGGGTGCGTGGGCTTCTCATCACGGTGGCTTCTCTTGTTGCGGAGCATGGGTTCTAGGTGCGCAGGCTTCAGTAGTCGTGGCTCGCAGGCTCTAGAGTGCAGGCTCAGTAGTTGTGGCTCGTGGGCTCTAGAGCGCAGGCTCAGTAGTTGTGACGCACGGGCTTTGTTGCTCTGCAGCATGTGGGATCTTCCTGGACCAGGGCTCGAACCCGTGTCTCCTGCATTGGCAGGCAGATTCTTAACAACTCTGCCACCAGGGAAGTCCCAATTAAGTAGTTTTTAATTAAGGTATGTACATTGTTTTTTTAGACATAATGTGGGAGTTCCCTGGCGGTCCAGTGGTTAGGACTTGGTGCTTTCACTGCCATGGCCCCAGGTTCAATCCCTGGTCAGGGAACTAGAATCCCTCAAGCTGTGCAGCATGGCCAAAAAAAAAGGGAAAGACACAAGGCTGTTGTACCCTTAATAGACTACAGTATGGGGGAAATGTAATTTTATATGCACTGGGAAACAAAAAAAATCCATGTGACTCACTTCGTTGCGATATTAGCTTTACTGCGGTGGTCTGGAACCCAACCCGCTGTGTCTCTGAGCTGTGCCTGGATCTCTGTTAAGCAGCTACAGTCCTGTGAGTGACTCCTGAACAGTGGTTTCCTCACGAAGTGAGTGATTAGCTTCACTGGATGTTGCCGTTTAAACAGCAGTTCTTTTCTCAAAAAGGAATAGTATAAAATGAGAAGAACATCTGGGGGCGATACAGCGGGGCTTATATCTTTACTCAGAAGTGACGCTCTCAGGAAGTGCACGTGAAGATCACGTGACAGCGTTAACTTGAGCAGAAGAGCTGGCGCGCTAGGACCGTCGGCGACGTGGCCGGCTGACACGCTCACGCTGTCTGCACTTCTTGCAGTGTGCGCCCGCGGACGAGGCCTACTTCATAGCAAAGGAGATTCTTGCTACAGAGCGAACATACCTGAAGGATTTAGAAGTTATTACCGTGGTATGAAACCTAAGTCCCTTGTTGCTTTGATTTTCTTAATACTTCTTAAATCTGGGCCAGAGACACAGGATTCCCCCCCCCCCGAGACCTGCGTGTGTGTGTATGTGTACATGTTCTGTTAAATATATCTGCCTTAAAACATGTCTACGTCAGGTCAGAATATTGGGTCCGATTTTTTGTGAACCTGGGAATATATCCCTTCGAAGCTCTTCACCCAGAATTGCTTTCTTCTGTTGTGAAAACTGGCTGGTCAGCCGTGGCACTGATTTGAGCTGGCGTCGTGGGGGCTCCGGGGCCGGTGCTGTGTGTCGTCAGGGGCCAGGTCCCTTGGTCACCCCGAGCTCTCCCGGCAGTGGTTCCGGAGCGCTGTGGTCAAGGCGGACGCCATGCCTGCGGACCTGATGACCCTGCTCTTCTCCAACGTCGACCCCATCTATGAGTTCCACAGAGGCTTCCTGCGCGAGGTGGAGCAGAGGCTGGCGCTCTGGTAACGCCCTGCGTCCCAGCGCCCGCAGGCTGCCCCGCCCGCGTTACCATCCCTGTGCGCGGGAGCTTCCCGGCTTCCTGGCTAATTCACAAGGGCCGCTATTGCACCGAGACAGCGTTAGTCCATAGGGAACATCACTTGCATTCACCCTATTCCAGAGGAGAGGACAGAAGCAGGTTAAAAGGAGACCCCTTTTTGCCCGGTCACCACCATTTCGAGGATGGCTGAGATGTGCCAACTGCCTCTGTCAAGTACGGCCTCGCCCTCAGAGGTTCTTGCTGAGCCTGGGACCCACCATGGCACTGGCAGCAAGCGAAGCGTATCTCACAGGCTGTCGCGAGGTTTTGACCGTGTCTGTCTGTCCGTCTCCACTCCAGGGAGGGGTCTTCCAGTGCCCAGGCCACAGGCGACCACCGACGAATCGGGGACGTCCTGCTCAGCAACATGCTTCAGTTAAAGGTAGCGCGGGTGTGCGCGCGGCTCTCGACCTAGCAGCTGGCCGTGTGGACGCCGGCCTCCCCGTCAGGACAGTGTTCCCCTGAGAGTGGTGCACAAGTCAGGGCAGCTTTCCCCTCAGGAAGCGCGGCGTCCCGAGAGGACGGCGTACAGGTCAGCCCGCGCTCTGCTCCGAGCGTTATTTCCCCTCGGGACACGCCCCCCTCAGGGCACGTCCTCTGAGAGCCGCCTTCCGCGCAGCGCAGCGCTGGCCGGCACTCTCGTCCCCACACGCTCTCCTCAGGATAAAGAGCGGTCCCCCGGGGCTGCGTCCCGCCGGGCCAGGCTCCCCTCAGAGCCGCGGGCCGGTGCAGCGGCTCCTGCTGAGCTCGCGCCCGTTCCCGGCCTTTCCTGCGGCCTCAGCGCTCCGGGCGGCGGCGCGGGTCGTGCTTCCAGCGCTCGGCGCTCTCGCGGGACCGGGAGCGATGGGGTGGGCGCCGCCAGCTCGTCGCCGAGGCCCCGCCCCCGAGGCCCCGCCGTGCCTCCAGGCCCCCGGTTTTGGGGGCGGGTGCTGAGCGCGTCCCGGAGGCAGAGGCGCGCGGCGTGAACTTAGGGCCCACACGCACGCGCGGCCGCCGGGCGGCGCTTCTCCAGCCCGGCGGGTCCCCTGTGATGCCCACCGAGGCAGACCGGTGTAGGGGGAGACCGGACAGGGGAGGGCGGGGCCCGGGGGCCGCCGCTCAGCCGCCCCCCGCCCCGCAGGCGCTCACCCGCCACTTCCAGAGGCTCCACGAGGTCCTGACGGAGCTGGAAGCTGCAAGCAGGCGCCTGCGGAGGCTGGAGGCGCTGCGCCGGGACTTCGAGCTGCAGAAAGTCTGCTACCTGCCGCTGAACGCCTTCCTGCTGAAGCCGCTGCAGCGCCTGCGCCACTACCGGCTGCTCCTGCGCCGCCTGTGCGCCCCCGACCGCCAGGACCCCGGCCAGGACCCCGACCGCGGCGACCAGGACCGCGCCGACCGCCGCGGTGAGTGCGCGCCCAACACCCCGCCCCCGCGGGCACCCCGTCCTCCGCCCGCGGCGCCCAGGGCAGGGGGTCGGTGGTCTGCTTCTGAGCCGCACACCTGGGGGGCCACGTGGCCTGGGGGAAGCTTCTGATGTCGGTGGGCTTTGTCATTCCTGACTTTGGTGAGAGGGACGAAGGGATAAACCCTGACCCTTGTGACCTCAGATAGGACTGACTTCCAGCTGCAGCACAAACGTAGAGCAGGAAGTCACTGCCTCTCAGGTCCGGTCACCGCTGTCTGTCTCTGAAAGTACAATACGAAGAGCTAGGTAGCCCTTCCTTCCAGCGGGTCTCCCGGTGTCCTGAGAATAGATCAGATACTTTCTGACGTACAGGGAGCAAAACAGACCATATGATGTGGACAGCGCCCTTCCTCTGCATCCTAAAAGCAAGTGTTTTGTGTTTGCCAAAAAGGAGGGGACAAAATTGCCCAGAATGTTTCCATGCATTTTAGGGGAAATGTGAAAGAAGAGCAGCACAGGTAAAATGAGGGTGGGCGACGCTGCTTTGCCCGTAACCTTAAATAGTTGTTTATAAAGACTCTGCCCTTTCTCTTTACCGAGCGTGAGCGTTGGCTAGTCAGCAGTTTGGGCTGAACGAGTCCACGTTTCAGGTCATCTGCAGGGACCCACACTTGCTGTCCCTAGCAGTCCTGTGAGGAGTTTGAGTACAATGTTCCTGGAATTAAAACCACCTGTAAATTGTCAGTTCCTGTCACAAATTGGTGGGTGGAGGGTTTCGACCATGCCACCCCCAGCTCACCTGCCCGGGCACCTGTACTGAGGGACCTCCCCACGCAGAAGCCCTCAAGGCCATCACGGAGGTGACCTCCACACTCCAGCACAGCCTCGTCCGGCTGGAGAACCTCCAGAAGCTGATGGAGCTGCAGCGGGACTTGGTCGGCATAGAGAACCTTATTGCTCCCGGCAGGGTGAGTGACTTTGAGAAAGTTCTGTGAACTGGTTACTGTTTTTAATTGAGATATAATTCAAAATGTGTGACTTGGTGGCTCTCAGTATATTCATGAGGTTGTGCAACCGTCACCACTAATTCCAGAACATTTTCATTCCCCGAAAAGAAACCCCATCGCTGTCAGCAGCCACCCCCCGCCCCGCTCCCCGGTCCCTGGCAGCTTCTGATCGGCTTTCTGTCTCTGGGCTTCTCTCCGGACATTTCATACACATGGACTCTCACGGTGTGTGGCCTTCTGTGTCTCACTTCTTTCACTCAGCACAGTGTCTTCAGGCTTCATTCGTGTTGTGTGTTGTGTTGGGGCTTCATTGTTTCTTGTGCCTGAATAGTGTTCATTCTCTGGAGACACCGTATTTTGGTTACCTGTTCATCTGCTGATAGACACTTGGGTTGTTTCCACTTTTCGGCCATTGTGAATAGTGCTTCTGTGAACGTCACGTACAAGTCCTTGTGTGAACATGTGTTTTCATTTCTCCTGGGCACAAACGTACATACCTAGGAGTGGAATTGCCGGGCCTGTGTTTAACATTTTGAGGAACCGCCAGAGTTGTCCACAGTGGCTGCACCACTTTACGTTCCCGCCAAGGGTATAGAATGGTTCCGACTTCTCCATGTCTTTTTTTTTTTTTTTTTTTGCGGTACGCGGGCCTCTCACCGTTGTGGCCTCTCCCATTGCGGAGCACAGGCTCCGGACGCGCAGGCTCAGCGGCCATGGCTCACAGGCCCAGCCGCTCCGCGGCATGTGGGATCTTCCTGGACCGGGGCATGAACCCGCATCCCCTGCATCGGCAGGCGGACTCTCAACCACTGTGCCACCAGGGAAGCCCTTCTCCATATCTTGTCTTTGATTCTAGCCATCCTGGTGGTACATAGTGGCATCCCTTCGTGGTTGTGATTTGCATTTCCCTAGTGACTAACATCAAGCATCTTTTCATATGTTTATTGGTCATTTCTGTGCCTTCTTTGGAGAAATGCCTGTTCAAGTCTTTTGCCCACCTTTTAATTGGGTTGTGTTTTTACTGTTGCGAGATTCCTTATCTACTCTGGATACCAGACCCTTGCCAGAATATGACTTGCAATATGTTCTCCCATTTTGTGGGTTATCTTTTCACTTTCTTGATGGTATCATTTACAACACTAAAGGTTTTAATTTAGCTGATGTCTAATTTGTCTGTTTTTTCTTTGGTTGCTTGTGCTTTAGGTGTCATAGCTAAGAAACTGTTGCCTAATCCAAGGTATGAAGATTTATCTCTGTGTTTTCATCTAAAAGTTGTTTATGTTTTAGCTCTTACATTTAGAGCTGATCATTTTGAGTTTTGTGTATGGTGTGAGATATGGGTCCAACTTTGCTCTTTTCCAAGTGGATATATAGTTGTCCCAACACCTTTGCTGAACTGTCTTCACTCCTTTGTCAAAAATCAGTGGGCCGTGGAGTGTGAGTTCGTTTTTGAACCTTCAGTTGTATCCATGGGTCTGTATGTCTCCCGGGCTGCTTACTTTCTGTCACTAATTCCTTTTGCTTTGGACTCAGTACTGTCAGCAAAAGAAAATTGTTTTAAGGGTTGCACAGGTCCAGTGGTTAAGAATCCGCGCTTCCAATGCAGGGGGCGCAGGTTCGATCCCTGGTCAGGGAACTAAGATCCCGAAAACAAAGGGTTGCACAGGGATGTGAGATGTTCCTGTCTCAGCACAAACGTAAGAGTATTGGAGCGTGGGTGTATAAATCCTGTTTTGCATTAGCCTTGTTAGAAGAAAGGTACTGTGAGTGTGGGACCATGAGCTCAAAGAAACAAGACTAAGACAGGAAGGTTTTGCCCTCCTGGAGCAGGGCCTTGGCTGGGAGCCAGGACAGCCCCGTTTCCTTTCCCTCCTTGACGGCTCCCAGGGGTGCTGCTGGCTGGGAGCTCCTGGGAGGTGGGAGGGCTCTTGTTACACTGTTGTTTCTCTGAGCGCCCCACGCAGTGACTTATAGATGGTGGCCCCAGGAAACTGTCACCAGAGGGGCAAATAAACAAGAGCAGCCACGTAGAGCAGAGGCCAGGGCGGGCTCCCCGGGGCGGCCTTGCTGCCATCACCGCTGCTATTAGGGTCTCCGAGTCCTGCCTTAACCCCCGGGGTTCCTGGCCTCCCCAAGTGAAATGCGTGCATCAGTCAGAGACGAGCCCACCCCAGCCGTCTGAGCGCAGGGTCGAAGAGCAGGGCTGTGAACTGAAGGTGGGTGACGAGGCCCCGAGGGTGAGCACTGCCAGGCGTCGAGGAGGCGGGACCTCGGGGAGCGCACCCCCAAGGGCTGGGGTCTCTGGGGAGCGGCGGAGCTGGCCCTGCAACGACGGCAGGAAGGCCTGCCAGCTGCGGCCCAGAGAGGGCTGGGGGCCGCCCTCCTCCTCCTGCAGGGCTGTCCCTTGGGTTGGGGCTGGTTTCTCATCTCGCTGTGTCCGTGAGGATTACTGGGTGAGCTCTCCTCCCTGTGCCTTTGCTCAGGTCATCTGAGGGCTGTTAAGGCCGGGGTGTTCTCAGGGCACCAGCCCGTGCTGTTTGTCTGATAGAACAGCGGACGGTAGAAGAGTCCCCAGAAATCGTCCAAAGTGGACTGTTGGGGCCCCCGGGACAGTGCTTCAGCCAGGGCGCAGGCAGTTAGGGATGTCGGACATCTGTACCCCGGAGGCAGGTGCGGGGCCTGGCCCGGCGGTGAGGGGAGCCCCGAGTCCCGGGGGGAGAGGGCTGCCCGGGACACGGGGGGCTTCCGCTGAGCCTCAGCCCACGGGAGGGTCTCACTCTGGGCCGTAGCACCTTCGTGGCCTTAGGAATCCTCTGCTCAAGCGCCAGGGTGGCAGCTGACAAGTCCCCTGTGACGTTTGGTGGGAACCAGGTGTCCTGTCCTCCTCCCTCCCATTCTCAAGCTGCCCCGCCCAGCTTTTCTCAAAGCTGAACTCACGTCATCTCCATGGTGGAACCTTCCAGAAGCTGCCTCTCAACAATGCCCTTTGCCTTGTGTGCCGGCTCTCAGCACAGCCGGCCTGTGGGAGCTCAGAGACCAGGCACCGAGTTAACCGACACCAAACAGGATGCGGGTGACCGAGGGGAGCGGACGGGAGGGAGGCTGGAGTGGCACGGCGGATCATCAGGCATCCATCCGGGCAGGAGGGCGCCGCGGAAGGGCCCGAGGGGGCCTGCGAGGGGCGTGGAGGGTGATGTGCCATCTGCCGAGGTGCCCTCGGCCAGCACACAGGGACCCCGATGGTGTCTTGCAGGAGTTTATCCGTGAGGGCTGCCTCCACAAGCTCACCAGGAAGGGCCTACAGCAGAGGATGTTCTTTCTGGTAGGTGCGATGGGCGCGGTCCAGGCGGGCGGCCTCATTGTCAGGAGCCAGGAGAGGGTCGCAGAAACACTCCCGGGCCTGCCACCTTCCTTATTCTGGATTCTGGGCACCTGTCTGCAGGATGAGCAAAAGCCCGAAGGTAGAAAAATCCACACACCTGCGGCTGCAGGACCGCTCTGCTCATGCCAGCGTCAGTTCGCAGGGCCTTACTCACGAGCCCAGAGGTCCTCCCAGCGAGTCCCTGCCGCCAGCAGGTCCCCTTTTGTCAGCTCCCTTCCTCGCGCCCAGCTAGTGGATTCAAACCCCAGCCTTCCTGGTTGGGGGTGACTTTCAGGACCAGCCCCCCAGCGCCTCCCGCCGGCCAAGAGGTCTGCTGGCCCATGTGGTTGCTGGTCACCCCTGGGCAAAATGACTGTACGAATGGAACAAAAATCCTTTTTCTGCCAAAAACCTCCAGCAAACTGCGTAAGCACACGGGGCCCTTGGAGTTGAAGTTGGTCTGATTGTTAGGATGTTGAATCCTTGTTACTTGTTTTTACAATTCATTTGTCTAAAGCTTCTGGTCCCTCAGTTCTCAGACATGCTGCTGTACACAGGCAGAGGTGCCTCAGGGACCAGCCACTTCCGGATCCGGGGACTCCTTCCGCTGCGCGGCATGCTGGTGAGCGCCCGGCGCCGGGTGGGGCCGGACCGGGGGTCGGGGGCCGCGCCGCATGGCAGCACCTGCCGGGCTGTTCACGCCTTTTCACCCTGTTATGGCTACTGTTCTTGGTGCTCAAACAGCCCCACCTGCGGCCCCTCCAGGGCCTCTTGACCAAGGCCACCAGCCCCTGCAGGACAAGGCCCAGCTCCGCCAGGAACCCACCTACTCCTCCCAGGGAGCCCTGTCCTTTGGTGGGAGACTCCATGAAAAACCCGGGTCGGGCGCTGGGGCCACCGTGCTGCTGGAGGGGTTGGGTGCTGACACAGCTTTGAAAAGAGAAAGCTGGACCCCTAATTCTTAAGACTGTAGAGTTTTCACTTCCTTGATTTTATACTTCTCTCTTTTATACTGACGATTTTGGTTTCTTTTGGCATCATACTTAGTTATTTCACACACACACAGCTTTACAATGGTAAAACAGAGACCGCCACCGCTAAAGAGAGGGTGGGCTGCAGGGCAGGACTGGCCCCAGGGAAGCTCCCGGTGACCTCCACTGAGTCGTGCTGTGTCCTCTCGTTTGCCCTTTGACCTCCACCCCGTGAAGAGGCGCAAGCTCTGTCTTCAGAGCTCTTGAGGGCCTGGGCCGCACCTCATGCTCTGTCCACACCACATGCCGCCAGGGTGTGTCCGCATCCCCACCGTCTCAGTGCAGCGTGGCGTGTTAGTATTGTCTCTGATGAGCGGGAATTCTTCGTCTTAATGGGATGCGGTCTGTCTTCTCCTCCGTGGTCAGTGCCTTCTGTGGCCTTAAAGGTCATGGAGAGACTCCCTCTTGAGTGTAAACCTAGACTCGGCCTGGAACCCATCTTTGGGAACAGCAGAGATAGGAGGCCAAGTTCAGGTTTTTGCTATAAAGATGTGCTGTTTGTCCAGAACATCTTACGCAGTGAGCACCTCTCCCTGCAGCCCTGCCAGGTCCCGTCCAGGTGCAGGATGGGTGGGGTCCGACCCCTGTCCAGTTCCCAATTCCCAAAGCGTCAGCGCCGTCCTCCGCCCCTTTCTCCTTCGTGGCGTCTGGCCCTTCTCCCCGCCATCCGCACCCTGGGCACTGCACCGCCTTCCAGAGAGCGTCAGAGCTTCCGCAGGTGTCTCTGTAACATTTGTTCAGCTTTTCCAACTCTCAGCAAAAAGGGGTCAGTTTGAATGACCTCACCTGCCATCCCTGGAAGCAGACCCCATCTGTTTTAAAGTATACTTTTAAAAATTATACCTTCAGCATAGAGAAAAACTGAAGATGTACGGTGAAAAGCACTCATCATGGTACTGCCCAGTAGTAAGTGCTGTCAGCATTTCGCCATCATCTGGGGAACATCCTCCACAAGCTGCATTGTAACCCGCACTGGTTTTGCTCGGCAGTTCACCTCGAACATGCTCCTGTGTCCTCCGCTTCTGCCACCGGCTCAGGAGCCCTGAGTAGCGGATTGGGGCGCCGAAGCACACTTTATTTAACTAGCTCCCTGCACCGGACGTTTTGGCTACGTCTAGTTTTTCAGAATTAGAAACAGCACCATTGGATCTTTCTATGCGTCCTTAGTTACGGCCTTGAGATAAACCGCCACGCGTGTATGTGAGCCTGGGGCTCCGTGTTCCCACTGAGTGGCTGTAGGAGCGGCTGACTGGGTGGCCTTCCCTCCAGGCCCGTCTGCGCCTGCTCCGTCCCTGCCTTGGGCAGCGCTGGCCGTCCACCCCGTCCTCCGCGCCCCAGGGATGGCCAGCAAGGCCGCTTCCTGCGCCCTCTGCTGTCCCCCAGGAGGCACCGGGCGCGTCTGTCGCTCTGGCCTGTTAGTGTTTGTGAAGCGTTCCTAAACCCTCCCAGGTCTCAGGTGCCTTCCAGGTACGTAATTCCCGTCACTTTGCCTGCAGTTCAGTGTCACCTCAGAGTTTATAAAGTCCCTCCAGACGGGGATCGCGTTTGTCTTGTCCCTAGAATGGCCACGGGCACAGAGGCCCGACGAATACGTGTTGAAGGGGTGAACTTAGACGTTTTTCTGTGGTCGGTCTGTCCATCTTTTCCTAATTTAGGGTTTCTGTCCTTGGCACGGGCTCAGAAAGTCTTTCCCACACCAAGACTACGTTCGTGTGGGACTTTCTTTACTGATATGCTTACGGTTTTTTCTCTTTTACCTAATCCGCCTAAAATTTGTTGGTTTTGATGTTTTTAGGTTGGGATGTAACATTTTCTCCTCGTATAGTCAGTTTTCCCATTATTTGTTACATCCTCCATTTTCTTACTGATCCCAAAGTCTGCCTTTATCATATAAAAAATTCTTGTCCTTACACTTGGACTCTTTCTGAAGGCTCTGTTCCATTTCTGTCTGTCCCAACATCAGTCTGCACTCTTTTAACTAGTGGTGGTATAAGGGTTAGTCACTGTGTGGGTAAGTTCCTTCCCTTATTTGTCCTTCTTTTTAAACAGTTCTTTGCTCTTCTCAAGTATTTATTTAATTCTTCTAAATAAACTTTGGAGTCATTTGGACAGATTCCTTCAAGAAACAACATTGGCGTTTCTGTGGAAATTGCATTAAATTTACATATTGACTTGGAGGGGGCGGCCGACATCTTGATAACCTTCTCCTGCTGGCTGCGCTCCTGTTAGTTTCAGACCCTTTTAAGTCCAGCGTGAAGCTCGGTGGTTGGCGTCCCATGTTCTGGGGTGGGTCACCTGTAACTGGCTGGTCCTGGGGACAGACAGACAGCCCTCGCTCCTGACTGTGGAGGGAAGGATGGTGACTCCTGGCTTGTGAAAGACACCATTTCCTTCTGTTTGTATATAAGAGATATTATCAGAAATAACGTGTGGAATTTTGGCAGAGGTGTTTCAGCATGTGGAGGGGGATGGTCACTCTTCTCCCTTTGACTTTGTGACAGGGTGGGTTCCATCAGTCACCTTCCTCATTCCTAGAACAAGCTCACTTGGTCAGAGGACAGTTTCTCCTCTAGGCTTTTAGGTCTGATTAAGGAATACTTTGTTCTGGAGTTACTTCTGTTATAACTGAGATTAGCCTGAATCTAACTCTGTTAGCTTTTGGTACCACTTTATAAACATGAATTGTCCAACTCCTTTTCAACTAAAATGCTCAACATTTTTTCCCGTGCTTGATTTTCAGCTAATAGTGCTGGACCCACCGGTGGGTAGTTGGGTGCCCATGGCCCTCAGCTTGCCCACCTGGGCAGCAGGCGCCATGGCGCGGGGATCCCTTGTGTCTCCTGTAACCCCTCGTAGAGTCGGCGTGGGCTTGGTCGGCACCTGTGTCCTGCCGCAAGCTCGGGTTCCGCCAGCCCCGCTCCGGGTCACACTCCCCTCCTCTCCCGCCCGCAGGTGGAAGAACGTGAGAATGAGTGGTCTGTCCCGCACTGTTTCACCATCTACGCCGCTCAGAAGACAGTCGTGGTGGCAGCCAGGTAAGGGCCTCCCGCCCACGTTCCGCATCCCAGCGGCCCTGGTCCCCTCTGAGTTGTGAGAGTGTCGCGGTCACGGGGACACACAACCCCTTGAGCGCTGCTTCAAAGCTACGCGACCGCAGGAGCAGCTTCACTGTCCGTGGGAGCTTGTGACCGTTGAGACCATCCGCAGAGACTGGCTGTGACACTGCTGGCTGCTCAAGGGAGGGGGCCGGCGGGCTAGCGGGGGGAGCCCGGCGGGGCGGCCACACCGAGGCCTAGCGTCACGTGCCTCCCGCCCCGGAGCTGGGCAGCAGGAGGCTGACTGGGCCGTAGCACAGGAGCAAACAGACGCTTTCCCCCACTCTCCACGCCCTGTCGACAGCAAGGCGACCCGAGCTCCTGGCGGCCTGGACGCTGTGCCTGGTCCCTCCCCTGTGGGAGCCCGCGTCCCCAGCTTCTTCCAAAGGAGGTGTCGTCCTGCCTCTGGGCGGGTGGCACCTGGCTCTCAGCTCCCGTCCTGCGGGGGTCCTGGCTGATGTCAGAGCACAGGGCACTGGACTCCCACTGGGAAACCCTGGCAGCTTAATTTATGATCCAGGACCCAGTCTCATATTTCAGCTTCACAGCCCCAGAGACCTAAACACCCGTTCCAGGAACCAAGTACCCTGTAGAGCACCCCCGTTCCAGCGTGACAGGTGCAGGCTGGGCCTCCAGTAGCGTCCTGACAAGCCCTCTGGACCCGAAGGACAGGGCGCACGAGGGGGGAAGCAGGCACCCTGACCTTCTGCCCTCCAGTGGGAGGGGGCACGGCCGGAAGCCCCGGCTGTGGGCCCTGCCCAGTGGCTGAGCTTCGGCCCTGCCCCGCAGCACCCAGCTGGAGAAAGAAAAGTGGATGAGGGACCTGAACGCTGCCATCGATGCAGCCAAGAGCAACGCCGACACGGCCCTGGCACCGCTGGGCAGCGTGCTGTGCCCCCATCCCCGCAGTGAGTGCTGGCCGGGCCCCCAGGAGACAAGGAAGCTTTCCCGTGGGTGTCACCCAGGTCACGGGCAGCCCGCTGGGCCCACGTGCTCTGCATCCACGAGGAACGTTTCAGGCGGGCGGGAGCTCTTCTGGCAGGAGCAGCGTGTGGTCTCGCGCCCTGCCTGCTGCTGGCCGGGGGCGGGGGCGGGTCCCATCTCCTCTGAGCAGGGGCTGACTTCTCCCCCAGGGCCCTCCGACGAGGTGTCTCTGGAGGAGTCGGAAGACGACGCTCGCAGGGCCCGCTGCTCCTCAGGGGGGCCGGGCCAGCACCGGGCCAGCACCGCCATGCACGTGTGCTGGGACCGCACCACCAGCATCTCCAGAGCCGACCGCAGCGCGGCCGTCGAGGTGCGGCCACTGGAGACCCTGCTTGTGTGGGCTGATGGGACACCCGGGGTCCACGGTGCCAGGGGAGAGCAGCCCGGGTGGGCGGGGCCGGGAGGGCGCCGTCAGGAGCTCTCTCCGAAGGGCCTGTCGCCCCGGGATCCTGGGATGGCTGCCTCCCTCACCGGGAGCGGCCTCTTTGCGCCCGGGCCACCTCTGCCTGCACTTGTCCTGAGCTTCCGCCGAAGCCGGGGGAGGGACCAGCAGAGCAGGCGAGGAGCGCGGGTGGGTCCTGACACGGCGGGGGGGGGGGGGGCGGTAAGAGCAGGGATCGTGGCCAGCTCGCTGGGGCCTGCAAGACGGCGGAGTGGCCCTGGACACCGCGTCCACCGTCTGTGCCACCCCCTCACGTGTCAGAGGCGCGGGGCCCTCGTGAGCATCAGCCCCGACGGGGGCAGAGGCCTGCGTCATGAGGAGGGCCCTACCGTCTGTGGATGTACTCGGGCCCGTGTGCCTCGCCCCAGCGCGAGGTGTGAGGACGGAAGCGGTGGTGCCGGCCTCCATGCCGGAGGGCACGAGGGCCAGCGCAGAGCGGCGCAGGCCTCGGGGCCAAGCGGGGCGGCCCCTCCTCTCCCTAACAGAGGGGCGCCACGCTGCAGGCTGGGCCGCTGGCTGCGTGGGCCTCTGTTTACGGGGCACCCCTGCCCCCCACCATCTGAGAACCTTCCTGTCTGGGCTCCGTGTCTGTTACAGGGGATTGGTGATGACGGGAAAGAAACTGAGCACCATTCTACTTCGTTCCACTCTTCTTTGTTAGCTGCCGACGAGCAGAGCGTCAGAGCACGGGGAAGGGCACTACGTTCGTGTCAGTGCGGAGCCAGCGAAGCCTGTGGGGGGTGACCCTGGGGAGACACCTGCTCCCAGGAGGCCCCTGGGAGGACAGAGCCCGCAAGAGTGGCTGTCTAGGGGCTGGCGGTTCTTGGACACTCATGCCCACAGGCTTTTCTTTTCCTTCCAGAACCAGCTCTCGGGATACCTGCTGAGGAAGTTCAAGAACAGCAGTGGCTGGCAGAAGCTGTGGGTGGTCTTCACCAATTTCTGTTTGTTCTTCTACAAAACTCACCAGGTAGGGGTGCTTCACCGAGCCCGAGGGGGGCTCTGCCCTTGGCACTGCAGGACCGCCAGGCCCGCCCACTGCGCCCTCACGGAACCCCCTCGGTTCCGAACGAGCCTGGCCCCGCCGCTGCTGCCGTGTGGGGAGAGGCGGGGGGCTGGGCGCCTGGCGAGCGCGTGCCCTGCTGCCTTCCAGGATGACTGCCCCCTGGCCAGCCTCCCGCTGCTGGGCTACAGCGTGAGCCTCCCCGGGGAGGCCGACGGCATCCACAAGGAGCACGTCTTCAAGCTCCAGTTCAAGTCCCACGTCTACTTCTTCCGGGCTGAGAGCAAATACACGTTAGGGAGGTAATTTCGCGGGGGGCTGCCAGGGCCCCCCGTATCTCCTCGGCTCTCCCGCTTCCACTGAGGACACCAGAGGCGGGTTTCCTGGGTCCTGGAAAGGAAGGACTGAACACTGCTTCCAGGCTTTTAACTGGCCCATGCTGAGTCCCATGTCCTCCTTATTTGGGGTCACTCTTGGGAAGACAGTTGAGCGCAAACCCACTGGTCTGATGGCCAGAGCACGCCCCCTGTTTCCGAAACAATCTGCCGGGGGCGGGGGAGGGGGGCCCGGTTCTGACAGTCCTGAAACCTCTTCTCAGGTGGATGGAGGTGATCGAGAGCGCCAGCACCTCACCAGGGAGGGCCGGGACCTCCGAGGAGGAGGCATGAAGCCCACCCTGCCCGGCTGAGGACAGAGCCGAGCAAGCAGAGCAGCATGTGCCCACGACTGCGCGTCCCGTGTCCCCCCCTCCAGACCCCTTGGCCCCGTGGGGCAGCGGGACGAACACACATGTGCGTGGAAATGGGCCCGGCTCCATGCACTGCCGAGGCTGGTGCCCACCTGCCCTCTCTCTGCCTCCAGAGCAGGACCCTGCCCTTCAGGCTGGGTGGGACAGGGCCCCTGGGTCACAGCCGCATGGAAGTCCAGCAGAAACCACTCTGCTGCCCACCCCACACACCTCTGCAGGGTGGAAAGCAAAGTCCCCGTAATTTATCAGCCCCCAGGAGGTGTGCTGTGCTAACCTGCGTAATAAAGGGCATCTCCTGTATGCCTGCGTGCTGCCCCTCTCCTTCCAGTGGGCACACGTGGTCCCTGCGTGCTGTGACGAGCTCGGAGGCCTGGAGCGCAGGCTGTGGACCCCACCCGGCCACCACCAGCATGTCTCCAAGTCAGGTCTTTCTTTATTGAAAGTGGCAGGAACCTCTCAACATTCTATGAAAACCAACTCCTTACCCTCAGGCTATTTAGGGAAGCAAGGAAGTTCGATTTTTCTTAAAAAACAACATTCTGGCTGACAAGTACTTATGAGAAGACACGGTACCTGATCCAACACCACAAGGCAAATCTACAACCTCCGAGGGCCATCGGGCCGGGTGGGGAGGAGGCATATCTGCCCCTCAGCCTGGGTGGCCGCACTGCCCGGGAGCCCACAGAGGGGACGGCCAGGCACCGCTCTGCTGCCGAGTGTGGCCGTGGCCTGGCCACGAGGGGGGCGTGGCAACGGGGCGGCCCTCTGCTCGGGGCTGGGGGCGTGGCCCGGCAGGGAGGCCGGCGGCCCCGACAGCACACGGGGTTTCCAGTCAGCGCGGTCCTCGACAAGGCAGCTCAAGACGAAGACCCCTCTCCCCCCTGTGTGCGAACCGCAGCGGCTTCAGCGGGCTGACGTCAGGTGGTTTCTGCTGTGTGAAAACCTGTGGACCCGAGGCCATGTCACTGCTGCCGCCGCCCGGCAGTGCCGGCCGGGGTGGGGGCTCCGGGACACCGAGCAAAGCCGGTGCGGCCCCGTCCCGCCGCCTCCTGTCCCGAGGGCGAGCACCCAAAGCGTGTCCTGGGCCTCCCCCCTGCCCCAGCACCCTCACCTCTGCACGCGCTCCACCAACTGAGCCATCAGCTTGTCCGAGATGCCGGGGCAGGACTCCTCAGCCAGGCTGAAGGCGTTCTCCAGCTCCTCCAGTGCCCCCAGGCCCCCGCCGCTCTGCTTGTGCTTCTCTTTGAGCTGCGGGGAGACCCCCGTGCGCCTGGTCAGAGGCTCAGGCTGGCCTGCTCCCCTCGCCTGTGACTCGCAGCGTGGTCCCTCCACACAGAGCTGGTACAGCAGGTCCCCGGAACGCCTGCGGGCGGGGCTCCCAAGAGAGGCAGTGGCCGCCCCACCCCCGCCTGCCCCTGCACCACCCGAGTCCTCAGGCCTTGGCTCTCCAATCACATGGCTTCCCCCTGACCAGGGTCCTGGAAGCCCACAGCTCAGGTCCACCAAGTGAGAGGACACAGCCAGACCCGCCGACCCAACCTTCGGGACCAGGCAGCCACCAGCACCGCAGGGCTGTGAGGACCCAAAAGAGAGAGATGCCCTCCCTGCAACTGGCCTGGCAGGGAGGGGCTGGAGACTGGTCAGCCCGTCCCCACCACGCCCGACACTACAGAAACAGGGGTGCACACCTTCCAGGACACCCCACCAGCAGCCGACTTCAGGCCCAGCCCACAGCGTCAGGACCCTAAGGGGGCCCCAGCCAGCCTAGGTGGGGCTCCACCTCCCCACCCACCTCCCTACCCAGACACACCAGCCCACGGCCCACCCCTAGCAGTTGGGACGCGAACACACACACACACCCCCGACACGCGCACACACCACGCAGCCCCAGAGCTGCCGGCCCCGCCCCGTGGCAGCCTCGCTCAGGCTTCTGATCCAGCTGTCCACGCTGAGCCCCACGAGCTCCTGCCGCACAGCCCCAGGTGCCTGCGCAACCAGGGGCAGTCCCCCCGCCATCCCGTTCCCCCCCACTCCAGGCATTCCAGGCCCCTGGAGGTGGCAGCGTGCCTGCCTGCACCCTGACGCCCCTGCCCCGTGCCCGCACCCCACCCTCCGTGGAAAGGCTCTGCTGCCGCCACGCTCAACATCCCCTCCTCCTCCCCCGGGCTCCAGGTGCCAGCGACACCCTGGGTGTGAACCTGACCTGACCACAACCCACTGCCAGCTGACTCATGCTCCTGGGGATGCTACCGACTGCCCATGAGCAGGTGACACAGACGCCGGGTCATGTGACCACTGGGGAGTTGTCCTTAAGGGCTCCCTGCCCAGGGCCTGACACCCAACACCAAGATCTAAATCTCCCGGCCTCTCTCTAGACAAGAGAGTCACCCCGTGTTTCTGGTTCAAGACAAAAGGTCCTAAGACAGTAATTCATGATCAAAGCTGCCCTGGGACCCCAGAGAACCCTGGCAGGCTTGGGAACTTAAGGGTCACTTTAGGCCAGCTTGCCCCAGCCATCCCTGGCCCTTCCACTCAGAAGGCCGGGTCCGCAGGTCCACCCTCGAGGGCTTTATGGGACCCAGAAAGCCTGCGCACCGGCAGGCTGGCCAGCGTACCTCGCTGTGGCCCTGCGGGGGCAGCATCTCTGAAGAAGAGCAATACAGCCCCTGCCCCCCAGGACCCCCGGCCCGGCCCTCACCTCTCCAAAAACGGGTCGGACCAGCGTGGACAGGCACTGGGACCTCGGCTGCCTCTTGACAGGCTCCGCTGACTGCAAACACAAAGCGCAGAGGGGTGAGCAGGGCAGCGAACTCAGGCTCCCCGTTTCCGGTCTCCTGGAAACCCGCCCTGGGGAGCACACGTGCCCAGGAGACGTGCCCCCCCACAGCCCTCCCCTCAGTCAGCTCTGAACAGGACTCCACCCTCCTGGCGCAGGCGCGGGGCTGGGGCCAGCCAGACCTTCTGGGGGCCATGCAGGGCCGTCCCCTTGTGCAGCTTGCCGTGCGGGCTCGGCCGGATGGTGGGGGGGAACGTCCAGACAGGGCCCTGCTCTCCGTCCTCAGGGTCTCCGTCGCTGAAGGGGAGGGGGAAGAGTCACAAGGGCCGCGAAGCGCACCTGGCCTCACGGCCCTGAACGCTGGGCCCACGACACCAGGAACAAGCACCCAATTCCTACCCCCGAGCAGGGACCCCGCCCCTGTGCCCACCGAAGCCCCACAGGACGAGCGGGGCCCCTACATGTCGGAGTCCTCGGAGCTTGACTCCTCGCCGTGGCCCTCTGACTTCCAGCGCTTGTAGCGGTCGATGAGCTCAGTGAGGAAGGAGGTCTTCTTGGTGTAGCGCGTGATGAACTTGTGCTTCAGGAGCTCCTTGGCGGCGGGCCGCTGCCGGGCACGGGCACGGGTTACCTGGCGCCGGGCAGCCAAGCTCTGCCCTTCGAGCTCCGGGGGCTCAGGCACAAAACAGCCTGGGCCAAGCCCTGGGCCTCAGCCTTACTGCTCCCGGGGGCTCGGTGAGGGGCCTCCAGGTGGGAGGGGGCAACAGGGAGGCTGGGGGGGGGCTGCACGCCGTCCTCGCCAGGGGGGAGCCCTCTGGAGCTTCCCCGGACCCGCCGGGGGTTGCAGCGGAACCCACCCTGGACCAGGAGAGGCTGGGGCAAGGGGGCACCTGGCACAGGGGAGGGGCCTCAGGCCCTATCGCCTCCCAGGTCCCAACACAGACACCCCCAAAACACACACACACACACACACATACACACAACTATCCCCTGGGGCCTGGTTCCAGCGCGGCCAGAACCCGCCCAGCCATGCAAGCTGGCACCTCCTGGAGCGGGGGGCCTGGAGGTGCTTACGAATCGGGGGTCCTTGTTGAGGCACGCCTCCACGAACTCCCTGAAGGGCTTGCTGTGGCGGCCCTCCAGCGTGGGTGGGCTGTTCTTGGGGATCAGGAACAAGACGCGCATGGGGTGGAGGTCGGAGTTGGGGGGCTCGCCCTTGGCCAGCTCGATGGCCGTGATCCCCAGCGACCAGATGTCGGCCTGGACAGAAAGCCACACGGGGCCACTGCAGCCGGGGCACCTTGAGCGCCCCCCGCCCACGACCCCGCCCCCCCCGCCGCGCCCACCTTGAAGTCATAAGCCGACTGCTTGATGACCTCGGGCGCCATCCAGAAGGGGGTGCCCACAAACGTGTTCCTCTTGATCTGCGTGTCCGTGAGCTGCCCCGCCACCCCGAAGTCTGCCAGCTTCACGTCACCCTGCTCTGAGAGCAGCACGTTGGCAGCTGCTCGACACAGGACAGCGGGGCGTCACCCTCCGCGCCACGAGGGCTCCCGCCCGCACGCAGCTGCCCAAGGAAGCGCGTCCCTCCCGGCGTCCACCCGACGACCTGACCAGGGCGCCAGGGCACTGCCGGCAGGTGAGGGGCACAGCCACGTGCTGCCCCCAGGCCAGGCTCCAGGGCCCTCGTGGTGGTCGCCTCTTACGAAAAATCCCACAAACAGAGCGACGCCCCTTCCTCCCAAATCACGCAACAGGCGGAGGTGACCCTGACCGTCCCCTCACTCTGCCAGTCACCTCCCGTCAGCCCCTCAGCCAGGTCCCTCCCTGGTGGCCTGGCCACTTGTGTACACCAGCACGGTTGCCCTAACTACACCTCACTCTCAGATCTAAGACCTGAGTGAGAGTCCATGTTTTTGGCCTAAATAGGGTCCCTCCTACGCTACGTGCAGAGCTGCTCTGCCAGCACACAGGGACACGGTACTCAGAAAGCTCTGTCCGTTACTGGCAGTGTCTTCTGGAAGACAGAGCAAGATGGAACCGCTGGGTTTCCGAGGCCACGGGGAGCGCAGGCTGGGCGCACTGAGCACCGCCAGCCCCGTGCCCCAGAGCCGCCTGCCACCTCACAGCCCCGAGGGACCTTTGATGTCTCGGTGTATCTTGCGCTCCGAGTGCAGGTACTCCAGGCCCTTCAGGATCTCTCGCAGGATGGTGGCGATGTAGGTCTCCTCCAGGGGACCCGGCTTAAGCTGCAGATACAGAGGAGACACTCGGGCCTCCCCTGCAACGCCGACCCACCCTCCCTTCCCTGCCACCCAGAGCCAGCGGCAAGGCCTGAGCTCGACCTCCTCTCTACCGGGTGCGGGGTGACCCTCTGGATGGCGGGGGCTTCCTACTTCTTTACCCACTCTCGAGAGAGAAGTTCCAGATGCCACGTCACATGGGTGTGGGGGAGGCCCTTTTCTGAGGACAGACACACGCTACCTTCATCTTCGCTGTAAACGTAACAGCTGAGAACGGAGTCCCGGCCACACCCCTGAGCTGTCTGCCTGGGGGAGCTAACCACCCTACCCCCCAGAGGCCTGCAGAGGCCCGGGACCCCTCAGCACCGGCTGGGTCCCAAGGAACATCCGATGCGCCAAGACGGCAAAGGCAGGGAGGTCACGGGAACCCAGGGCCCAAGGACAACCCCCAGACAACTTCAGTCTGGCCCCCACCCTGCGGGCCACCCACTGCGCGGCCCACACCTCACCAGGTCCAAGGCGGAGCCGCCGCCCAGGTACTCCATGATGATCCACAGCTTCGTGCTCTGGTACCAGAGAAGCGCGCGTCAGCACGGGGCAGCTGACAAGCATGGGACCCCGACACACGCCCCCACCGGGGTGACTCAGCCAGGACGCCCACCGGGGACAGGCTGCGGCAGCCCAGCCTGGCTCCCGTCCCACCACGCCCCCGCTGCAGACACTCTGCAGACAGACCAAGTGCCTGGTCAGCAGCTGAGCCCCCTCCCTCAAAGCCCCCCTGGGAAGGGCTCCAGGCTCCGGCTGTGGGGGGCCCAGAGCTCTCCCAGCAGACACACCCTTGCCCAGGCAGCGGGCGCAGCCAGGCCACTCCAGAGCCGGCCGACCCCAAAGACTCTGCTCACGCCCTGCCCTCCCAAGGGCTCCCCCTCAGGACGAGGCCAGGCCCCCCTCTGCATGCACGCTTGGCCCTGGGGGCTGTCGCTTTTTGGGGGGCCCTCTCCACTGTGAGGCTGGGTCCGTGTTCACCTGTCAGGACCCCCGCCCTTCAGACCAGGCCCACGTGGGGGCAGACCCAGACTCGGTCTCCTGAGCAGACACGGGGACTGCCGGGGCCGTCCCCGTGCTGGCCACAGGGAACCTGGACGGCTCCCCGGAGGGGCGGGCACAGGCGTGGCTGGCGCAGAGGAAGCCCCCAGCCCGCAGGCACCTTCAGGTAGGAGCCGAAGTAGCGCGTGATGTAGGGGCTGTCGCACTGGCTGAGCACCGTGATCTCCTGCTGGATGTCCTCGATCTCGTCCTCAGCCTCCTCCAGGTCGATGATCTTGATGGCAACCACCTCCTTGGTGCGGTTGTCGATGCCCTTGTACACCTCCCCAAACGAGCCCTTGCCGATGCGGTCAAGCTTGGTGAAGAGCTCCTCGGGGTCCACGCGAGAGTGCTGGGGACAGAGGGCGGGCCGGGCAGCCAGTGACCCCAAGAGCCGCGAAGAGCCAGGGAGCGCCCCCATATGCTTTCCTCGCTTCCTTTATCCCTTTTCGTTCAGAAGATAAAGTTACCCTCCACACAAGGGAAAACGCCCCCAGAGAGCGCGGTGAGACCTGGGCTCTCGCCAAGAAACCAGGGCCGTGGGCAGGCAGAGGGGCCACGCAGGTCACCCCGACCTGCCCACACCCCATGCCTGGGGAGGGCCCAGCAAGGCACAGTAACGGGTTAGGAGGGACGAGTCGGTGGAGCACAGGGAGGCGGGGCCCGTGAGACGACCCTGGGCGACGCTGTAACCACCCAGGAGCCAGCCTCACGCGCCCTGCCGGCTTCGTGAGAAACAGCCTGTCCACACTGGGTCAGTGACTGTAACAGACTCCCCGGGGAAGGGACGAGGAATGTACGGAACTCTCACCGATCTTTCTGTAAACCTAAAACTGCTCTAAAAAATAAAGCCTGTTAATTAAAACAAAAAACAAACCCAGCACTCCTTAACCGAGTTCTCCCTGCGCACCTGGAAGCCACACCCCTTAGAGAGAGTCCCATTTGAGCCCCCAGATCAGTCCTCACACCACCGCAGAGCTAAAAACCGACACTTTCTTGGGTGCTTGATCCTGGAGGTTCAAATATACGGAACGCCGTCCCACCCAGTGCTCAAGGCAGAAGCACAAAACCGCCCTAACAGGCGCTGAGCCGCTGGGGCAGGAGGCGCTCGGCACCTCCTTGTCCCAGCACCTGGACGCTGTGGCAGAGGGGCATCCGCGGTGACAACCCTGCTTTTGTCCCTGACCCTCAGTGCATCCAAGGCGAGACAGCTCCACGTGGGGCTGCGTGGAGGCAGCAGCACCAGAGAGCGGGTGGGGCACCCCTGGCATCGCCCCCACCCCCGCCCCGCGGTTCCCTGGGCTTCTGAGATCACCTCACTCCCGCCACCGACCACGTTCTTAGAGCCTGGAGCGGCCGCACAGGCACTGCAGCCCCAGGACCCACGTGAGGTTTGGCAGCTCTGGGTGGGACCCGTGGAAAGGCTGGCAGGGAGCATAGCGTTTAGTCCAGACAGAGGTGAAAAGGGTTTTCCAAGCCCTGCCGGGCCTCAAATCCACCAGGACTCACGTCCCTCCAAACCCCAAGCACCATCACCCAGAGGGCGTCTCGGGGGGCGCCCACCCAAAGTGGCGGCGTTAAAAGGCACAGTCACCACTTGCTCGGCTGCTAAGCGCTGTCCGTGCTGGTGCTGAGGGCGCCCATACCAGGGTAGCCGCGCTTACCAGGTCCGGAGAAGACAGCCCTGGGGAGCATAGAGCCCACGTGCACCCCTGGGGTTCACACCCAGGCAGAGCTCCGTTTGCGGCCCAGCTGGCTCCAGACTGAGATGACGTGTCAACCCCAAGTGGTCAGTGAACTGCCTTCCCAGGAGAGGGCAGCAGGTGATGGGGCCTCGGGGAGGGCTGGGCCAGTGAGCCTGGGACACAGCCCCCTTCCGCCTGCTCCGCCAGTGCCCCTCGGCTCAGCCAGCCCAGGAGGGCCTCTCACACCCCTGGGGGCCGGTCCAGCAAACCACTCACCCGCAAGCCAGCCCCAGCCCCAGCCCCAGCCCGAGCCAGGGCTGGCACGGCCCCGGGGACGCCTCCGGCCCCACCAGTGCTCCTTCTGCGGTAGTCTCAGAGAAGACCCGGGGAGGTGGACCGAGGCCCGGCAGCGCTGATGGGCACCGCTGTTCCTCCAGCTCTCGGGCCTCTGCCAGCGACACACGCTCCCCGCCTTCTCCACGCGGGGCAGGGCTGTGTCTGGTCCCCCGCAGCAGCCTGACCAGGGATACCCCAGGCAGGGCGCCCAGCCCTCCACGGCCCCAAAGTGGGAGACAGGGCAGACCCCTAACCAGATTCCAGGCTCGGCAGGGAAGCAGGGAGCCCCGGCCCCAACTCTCACACTCTTTGGATCCCCACCGCTACAGGCCAGTCCCCTGAGCAGACAGCGTGACAGGAAGGCTCCTGGCCGTGACCCCAACCCTACAGGCACATCACAGACACAACCTGCTCACAGCCCTGCCAGCGGAAGGAGAGACAAGTGCTCCGGGGCCTGGGTCTCAGGCTGCCCTTCCTGACAACACGCGTGGTCTGGACAATTGCTCAGGCTGCTCGCTGGGCCCAGACCCTGGTTCTCTGAATCAGCCCTGGGGCTGCCAGGTCTGCAGCCACCACTTAGCAGTGTGTCTGTATGTATGTCCATTTTGCGATACGTCTGCCATAAGCGTCACCCTCCAAGATGAGGGGTGCCCAATGGCCCCCATCCACCCCACGATGGGTGGCAGCCAATGTGCACGCGGTGCCGCCTGCAGCCATCCAGAGCCTGTAGGCAGGGCAGGAACCAGCTAGGCAGGGGCCTGACATGCAGGGCTCCCCCATGCGCTGTGGGGGAGCACACGGCCCCATGCAGGGGACGCCTCGAAGGGCCACAGTGACAACCGTCTCAAGAGAAAACAACGTCCCGTCAGGTTTCCTGCCACCGACAAAGACCAAGTCTCTCCACCCCTAAAAGGACAAAAGGGGCTTCCTTCCTTTGGGGTCTCTTCCTCAGCTCCTCTGGGCCTGCGCTCCCTTCCCTGGGCATCTGATCCGGAGGCCCAGGCCACACTCCAAGTGCCATCAGCACACAGGTATAGGGGTGGCTCATAGCTCCAATTTCTCATTCTGGGACCCACGGGAGCCACTCCTATAGCTCTTTATAAAAATAAACTCGAGCCAGACTTCCCTCCCAGCATCTGAGTCATGTAATTTAAGACACAAGATGTCAGTGATGAACGAAAACCCACCAGCTCACGTCAGCGTCAGTGAGCAGGCCCTGGGGCCCATCTGCAGCCACAGCTGGTCCAGGATGCCCTGCCCAGCAACTGTGTGAGGCGCTCCAGGTTTCTCCAAGGAGCCCAGCTGGGTCTGGAGCTGACCCTGACCCCAGCCCCGCCGCCCACACACAGACACACACTTCCTGTTCCTCCTGAGCACCCATCCTCAGACGCAACCCACGGAAGTGAGCCTGAGCGCTATGTTCTCTTTAAGAGGAGCTCCCAGCACCTTACAGCGCTCAGCCTAAACCACGCTGGAGCCGACAAGATAAGGAGAACAAGACCCAACGGCTAGGACGCAGGAACACCCAACTGCCAGGGTGGTTCACCTCACATCCGCTTCGGGTCACACTCGATTTGAACTAACAAAAGAGGGGGAAACGTATGGCCCAGAAGCCCAGAGCTGGCTGCCCCGACGCTCTTATCCAGAGCCACCCAGCCTCAGGTCACACTGTGGAGGGTCCCCAGTGCAAAGCCAGACGCCTCAAAGTGGCTGGGTGTCGGGAATTATGAGAACCAATCAACCAAAAAAGAAAGACAGTGGGCGCTTTCCAGGCAGGCACCTCCAGCCCAGGGGCAGCCCTTTCCAGCCCCCTTGAGAAAAACAGGCACACATGTGTCCTCGGCTTTCCCTGCACACCGACTCTCCCAACAGCTGCTAAATCCCATTCTCAGCCCCTCTCGTCCCCACCCAGCCCCTGCCCCAGCCGGACACGGCCAGCGTCCCTGCCCAGGCCGAAGCTCCATGTGGACCCCGACCTTCCACATGCCTCCAGATGCGCAGACCCAGGTTCCTGCGGGCCGGCCCGGTTCCCAAGATACGTCTCTGCACGCCCTCCGCTGACCCTGCACTGTGGCTCTACGCTGACAGACTTGGAGACTCCTGCCCCACAGAACGCTGCAAACCAGCCAACCGGAGTCGGCCCTGCGCCCACCAAGCCTGAGCACCGCAAGACTGCTCCCCGTTTTGCCCACGGCTGTGCATCACAGGGCTCCCCACGAGCTCCTCCCTTCAACCCACACACGCCTTAGCACGGGCTGCTCTTCGGAAACGCCAGGACGACTTTCAACAGACAGTCCTTGGTGAAGCGCCCTTTCTCAGACCCTGCAGCCAGCGGCCCGTGTCAGGCACACGTGCACCGACGACACACACGCCCGCGGTCCAGACGCCCCCCTTACCTGGTTGGCAAATCCCCTGAGGTGAGCCATGTCTGCGCGGCTCTCAGACCATCCGCTGCACCGCCGGGAGGCCCCGAAATCCCGCCTGGAGGCTCTGGAACTCGGCTCACCCGCTTCAGTCAACTGCAGGGAGAGCAGGCCTGCTCGGTGCCCTGTTCCGGGTACACGGGGCTCCCCGCTCCCCTGGGACCCGGCGGCCGCCCCCTCCTCCAACCATCTGGGGACCAGCTGGGGTTGAGGGCGGGCTGGAGTCAGAAGGAAGGGCCATTCCTCCGAAGGATCCCCAGTGCCGCGTTCTCCTCTTCGCCCGGCCCAGCCCAATGCCTCCCCGGAGGAGCTACCCAACACCGGGCACTCCTCGAAGCCCCTCACACCTCCGCCCCCGGCCCCCGCCCTTCCTTCAGACCCCGGACCCCCGCCCCTAACCCCTCCCCCAGTGCCCTCTCCGCGCCCCACCCCCACCGCCGACCCCGCCCCCGGAGCCCTCCCCCCGCCCCACTCCCCCCGCCGCCCGGCCCCCTCCCCAACCGCCCCAGGCGCGGGCCCGCCCGGCAGCGCGCCCACCTCCGGGGGGCTCCATCCCGGCCTCCCCCGGCCCGCTCCGCAGTGCCCACGAAGGCTCCCACCCGCAGCCTCCGCTCGCCCGGAGATGCCTGGGCCCTCCAGTCCGCGAAGCAGCAACAGTGTCGGCGGCAGTCGGAGAAAGCCCGGCGGCGGCGGCGGCGGCTACGGCGGCGACGGCGAGGGCGCGCGGCGTCGTGGCCCAGCGCGGGGCACTCTGGGACACCGAGTCCCTCTCTCGCCCTGTGCTGGGGCGCCCGCAGGCGCTGGACTACAAATCCCGGCAGGCCACGCGGCGGAGCAGTGTCGCGGCCCGCAGGCGCGCCGCGGAGCTCGCTGGGACTCCGAGTCCTGCTTCCTGAGAGGCTCGGGCCTACGTCTCCCGGCAGGCCGCGGGCCGGGGCCGGGCCGGGGCGGCCGTGGGGTGGGGCCGCCCCTCCGCTCCGCCCCCCCCCCCCCGCCCTCCGCCCTCTGCCCTCGCGCTGCCCCTACTCCTCCCCGCACCTGGGAGCACCTGGCCCTGGGCTCCCGTCCTGTCCTGCAGGCCCCGCCCCTTCCAGCATCTCCGGTCTGGGAGGGATGACTGGGTCTGGACGTGCCCGGGAACACTATTCAGCCTGAAAAAGGGAGGTGGTTCTGACACAAGCCACTGCCTGGATGAACCTTGACGACGTGGCGCTAAGTGACATAAGCCAGTCACGGAAGGACAAATACTGTTTGATTCCACGTATGTGAGGTCCCGAGAGTAGCCAGATTCGTAGAGACAGAAAGGTGAAGGGTAACTGCCAGGGTGGGCGTATTGCTCAACGCGGGCAGAGTTTCAGTTTGGGAAGATGAAGAGAGGTCTGGAGGGTGGCTGCACAGCTGTGAATGTATTTAACGCTGCTGAACTGTACACTGTTAAGATGGTACGTTTTATGCGACCTGCATTTTACCACAATTAAAAATAAAATAAAATGAAATAAACCTATCACAAAGGGACACTGTATGACTTCACTTAGATGAGGGGGTCAAGAATAGGTCACTTCGGGCTTCCCTGGTGGCGCAGTGGTTGAGAGTCCGCCTGCCGATGCAGGGGACACGGGTTCGTGCCCCGGTCCGGGAAGATCCCGCATGCCGTGGAGTGGCTGGGCCCGTGAGCCACGGCCGCTGAGCCTGCGCGTCCGGAGCCTGTGCTCCGCAACAGGAGAAGCCGCAGCACTGAGAGGCCCGCGTACCGCAAAAAAAAAAAAAAAAAAGAATGGGGCAATTCAAGAGACAGAAAGTAGAATAGAGATTTCCAGGGGCTGGGGGAGGGGGAAAACAGGGAGATATTACCTAATGGGTACAGAGTTTCTGTTTGGAGTGATGACAAAGTTCCGGAAATAGACAGTGATCATGGTTATACAACATGGTGAATTTACGAATGTCAGTGAATTGTACACTTAAAAATGGTTAAAATAAAAAAAAAAAGGTTAAGATGATACATTTTATGTTCTTCATACTTTAGTACAAATTTTAAAAGAGCAATGATAAATTGGATTTCATCAAAAGACATTATTAAGAGAATGAAAAGACAAGCCATAGACTGGAAGAAAAACTTGCAAATCACATATCCAACTGTATGTACTGAGAATATATAAAGAGCTCTCAAAAATCAACAGTTAAAAAACAAACAACCCAATAAGAAAAAATCGAGAATAGACTTCAACAGACACTTCCCCACAGAGGACACATGGATGGCAAATAGCACATGAACAGATGCTCAACATCATGAGCTCTCAGGGAAATACAAATTAAGCCCATAATGAGATACTAATTACTCACATATTACAATGGCTAAAATAAAAAACACTGACAATACCAAGTGCTGACAAAGATAGGGTGATGAACTATCCTGGTTTCCCAGGGGTTTCCTGGTTCCAGCACTGAAAGTCCCCTGTCCCAGGAAAGCCCTAGGTCCTGGCAAAGCAGGATGGTCGGTCACTCAGGGTGAAGATGCAAGCTGGGACATAGGCCGTCGATGCTGAGAAGGCAGAACGGTGCAGCCACTCTGACAACAGCTTGGCAGCTTCTTAGAAAGTCAACCTGGGGCTTCCCTGGTGGCGCAGTAGTTAAGAATCCGCCTGCCAGTGCAGGGGACGCGGGTTCCTGCCCTGGTCTGGGAAGATCCCACATGCCGCAGAGCAACTAAGCCCGTGCGCCACAACTACTGAGCCTGAGCTCTGGAGCCCGGGAGCCACAACTACTGAGCCCACGCGCCACCACTACTGAAGCCCATGCACCTAGAGCCTGTGCTCTGCAACAAGAGAAGCCACCGCAATGAGAAGCCTGCGCACCGCAACGAAGAGTAGCCCCCGCTCACCGCAACTAGAGAAAAGCCCACACCCAGCAACGAAGACCAAATGCAGCCAAAAATAAAAAAGTTTATTACTTAAAAAAAAAAAAAAAGTCAACCAGACACTTTACATAATGACCCAGCATTGCCGTTCCTGGGTACTTACCCTGGGGAAATGAAAACCTACCTTTACACAAAAACCTGTACATAGTGAGGTGGATGGACCTAGAGTCTGTCATACAGAGTGAAGTCAGAAAGAGAAAAACAAATACCATATGCTAACACATATATATGGAACTTAAGGGAAAAAAATGTCATGAAGAGCCTAGGGGTAAGACAGGAATAAAGACACAGACCTACTAGAGAATGGACTTGAGGATATGGGGAGGGGGAAGGGTAAGCTGTGACAAAGTGAGAGAGAGGCATGGACATATATACACTACCAAACGTAAAATAGATGGCTAGTGGGAAGCAGCCGCATAGCACAGGGAGATCAGCTCGGTGCTTTGTGACCACCTAGAGGGGTGGGATAGGGAGGGTGGAAGAGAGGGAGACGCAAGAGGGAAGAGATATGGGAACATATGTATATGTATAACTGATTCACTTTGTTATAAAGCAGAAACTAACACACCATTGTAAAGCAATTATACCCCAATAAAGATGTTAAAAATTAAATTTAAAAGAAACCAAAAAACCTGTACATAAATGTCTACAGCGTGTCTATTCATAATCGCCCCAAACTGGAAACAACCCAGATGGCTTTCAACGGGGTGAGTGCATAGACCGTGGTCCATCCCCACCACGGAGCACCACTGAGCAATAAAAAGGAACAAAGCACTGATACTTCTGCAACTTGAGGGGCCATAAAGGTATCATGTGAGAGAAGGAAGCCAGTCGCCAAAGGCTGCGTACGTGGTACAGGGCTCCGTTTAAGCGACATGGGCACAAGGACGCAACACCAGGGAAGGAGAACCGAGCAGTGGCTTCCAGGGCCTGGGGTGCAGCCTCGCCTACAGTGGAGCAGCGGGAGGGGGCTTCCGGGCCATGGGACTGTGCTGGAGATTACGCAAATCCATACAGGCAGTAAAACTCATAGAACTGTACACTAAAAAAGGCCATGTTACTGTATTTTTTTTTACAAATAAATTTTTTTTACATTGACAATAATTCCTTAATATCAAATGTAGAGCCAGTGTTCAAATTTCATATATATGTGCATGTGTATATATGTGGTTTCAGATGTGTGACTACACACAGTTTGTTCAAATCAAGATCCAGTAAGGCCCACACGTTATGATCCGTCTTGTCTCTTTTTCCCTTCGCCATTTAGGTGCTGAAGAAATCTGGCCACTTGTTCTGTGGAGGGGCCCAGGCTGCACTTTGCTGATCGCCCCCCCATCTCACCTGCTCCTGTCTCCTCCTGGGACTTCACAGGTGGACTCCAGGCCCCATGGCTTCTTGTGAGGAGGTGCAGGTCACCTTTATCAGACACCACACACACCCCAAAAGGGGAGGACAGAGCATGTCCCCTTGGAAAGTCCTGGGGCCCGGGGTGCTGAGGACACCCCAGCGGGTGCCCAGCCCATTCTCACCACCCAGGCGGGCCCTGCCCACAGCTGAGTGGCACTGCTCTGAGGCTGTGCAGAAGTGGGGCTGGGGGAGGGTACAGCCCCCCAGGGACCTCCTCATGAGGGGCCCCGAGAAACTGAGAGAAGGGGAAGGTTTGGAGACAGAGGGAGCGAGGCTGCCTCAAAGCCAGGGAGGCCGGGGGCCCAGGACCTGAGATGACCCACCCAGCAGAACCAGCCCCTGCCCCTCCCGAGTGCGGACCTCAGGTGGGAAAAACCACACCTTCAGGGACGGACCAGCGGCCTCCCTGGGCCTGTGTACTTGGCTGTGGGATAACCAGCCTCACGACGGGCCCTTGTCCAGTGCCAGACCTCAGGGGTGTGACCACCCCATGCTCTGGGAAGGGGGTGCTCACACGGTTCTGTCCCTCGAGGGAACCCCAGCTGGGACTCAGGGATCAGGGCCCCACGGCCTGGGAAGGCCGGGCCTGATCCTGGGGCCACGCTCCTCCCCTTCGTCCAGCCTCCTCTTCTGCCCAGGAAGCAGATCCATACAGCGATGCAGGCCTGGGAACTGGGGAGGGGCCGGCCCACTGGGGGCTGCCCCCTTGGTCAGTCCAGGGCCCTTGCGCCCTCCTTGCAGCCACCCCACACCTCGCTGTCCTGATGCTGCTCCCCTGACAGCAGCCCCCGTGTTCATGGCAGGGCCTCCCGGAGCATCTTCAATCCTCAGGCAGTTGGTCCAGGATGCGGCCCCCGCTGGAGTATTTCTGAACACCTGGGGGAGAGAGACAGAGGTGGCAAGACAGAGAGAGACAGATACAGAGGGAGGAGAAACAGCTGGACTCGAAGATATGATAGGAATTTCTGTAGTCCAGAAATGGATTGGAATCTGAAAGCGGTGGCCTGGGTCTCAGTCCTGGGATGTCTGTGTTGGGCCTGGAAGCAGGCAGTGCCCCGGCAGCCCAGCCTGGGCAGGGTGGGGCAGGGCCCCAGGGGAGGAGAGCCACACCGCAGAGACAAGGCTGAAACCCCCAACAGTGCACAGGGGTATGAGGTCGGGGCTCCTGCACCCTTGGGTTTGCTGCCTGGGTGGGGCTGGGAGGAACCGGTGGGCACTTCCTGCTGGGGTCTGCAGGGGAAGCTGAGATGCAGGGCCCAGGGGGAGGCATCGGGAGCCCGAGGGGCCTGAGTCGGTGTCTCCCGGACAGGGGACCCCAGGCAGGGACCCGGGAGAGCTGGCAGCTCTCCCACCACCAGGTGCTGCTGTGGCCTGGGTGCAGCC